TTACTAGACAATGCTTTTAAATTCAGAACAGGGACCACATGGTTTCATGTTTTGTACCGTGACAGGTGAAGCACATGTATTAAAGCAATTTATAATGGGTCAGCGGACTTCTCTCACCTGTGTGTGTCCTCTTATGGGCCTGGAGAGACTTCTCTCTGGGAAACACTCGGTTGCAGATGTTACAACGGATACGGCTGGATGAAGTCTCCCCCTCGCTTATCAGCTCCCGGACTGTGTCCGCCCGTGGCCGGCCTCTGCGGATACCATCCTGACAGCGAGAACACGCAGAATCATTGCTCTGGCCCTATCAGACTTATCAAAGGACTCTGGATGAATGAACACCTATGGTGCAACAGCTTTGAGACAAAGCAGGGTATAATATGCCAAACCAAGGACAAACTGTTTTCACTGCTTCATAATCTAATACACTTATAACACATGATTCACATAAAATACTCATTTATTGCATTTCATACAATGTATCAACGTGCCAGTCTGACTTCATTTAATTAGCTCACGTGTTACACTGTGAGCTAATTCACATCCGGTTAAATTTTTGGCGCGCGACTACACGTCATATTGGAGCAGCTGCTCCAGATTCAGGAACTGGGGTTTAAAATCCACGGAGTCACACCCTAATGCGCGGGCGTTTTTTAAATGACTCTATATGACGCCATATTGAGGCCGACTCTCTGTTTTAAGTAATCACATTTCAAGAGAATATATAACTTTACAAGAAAAAGGTGTTCATTCTGATCGTGCTGTTCTGCTGTGATAACTATGTATGGGTTATTGCGCCTGTTATACACATGCTATATCCTTTCAGACCTGCTCTGGAGGTTCTTCAACAGATCAATGAATTAAGTTACAAATGCTCTTTTAGGCGTATTACACTGTTGTCAGCAGTCTCTGCATTAACAATATTAAAGTATTAAAATAGTTAAAAAATACTTTCTGCTTTTAGGTTGCGCTCAGACATCCATACGACATCCAGCCATGTCACTTTTTAAAGAGTATCAAGACAAACTTTCATATGAGGGGTTTACCTTGATCTGCTCAGGTGAAGGAGCTGTGTCCGCTTCCCTGGCCGTCTGTGTCCCGGTAGGGGACGCGGCTCCACTCCCTGAGCCCGGGCTCAGGGTTACATTGTGGGCGTTCTCTCCCCACTTCCACGGGTAGACCATAAAGTCGCTGAAGCCGGGGCTTGTCGGAGTTATGGCCTCTGCTTTCCTGGGTTTAATCGGAGTGGTCTTGATGACGGACACCAAAACTCTTTTAGGCGAGTCATTGCAGAAAATAACGTGAGGGTGCTTGCTCTCAGCCATCGTTTGAGTGTCAAAATCCCGGTGTTTGACGCAAAAGCCGCAAAACTATTTTTTTTCCCAACAAGATAAACGAGCAAGTGTAATAAATAGTTTGCCTTCTTAATCTGGAGTAAATACTTCCTTCATTTCCAAAGAGTACAAGAAGAAGAAAAAAATCTCTGATCCGCTCTCTGCTATAAAGTAACTACAAAAGTTGCAGGAATATATGAAGACTGCGGTTTCTTTCCTTCTTGTCGCAGCAGGTCGTCTCAATTGACCTGTGTGCGCCCACAGGAGCGTTGTCCCGCGTTGCAAAATCGCGCCTGAGCAGTGCATCCTCCAATCCACTGCAGGCGTCGAACCCCACGTGTCAAAAGAAGCGAATGGCAGCAGCCATATGGCTCTACCTAGCCATTCTCCAGACCAGTAGGAGACGCGAAGGGCTCTGTGCACACTAATTGGCCGAAAAGCTTTTGTCCAATGAGATTTAAACACCTGATGCGCGCTCTCGCAGATTGACATCAAGACTAGCCAATGAAAGCGATTGTGGCCCACGTGTTAGCCAATGGGAGCGAAGGGCGGTTAATTTTTTTTAACATTGCGGATGAGCAGATGGCTCTTTTCCCGCGCTGAAGAATCTGTTTATGTTATTACATGTTTTTGTCGTTTTAAAGGGAAAGAAAACGGTGGTTCCGAGGCGCCAAAGTTACGTAATCACTGTAGGGCGGAAGTAATAGAACAAAGGCTTTATTGTGTGCGAGAAATGGAAACAGAAACTTAGAGTTATTTGAAATTTCATTATATCAATGCAATATACCTAAAGTGGTTTATCTGTTTAACCCAAAACCCTACTAAATCTCTAGATACTGTGTTCTTCAGATGATTTCATTTCTCCAGTAAAATGTAGTAAAGTGTGCTGTCAATCATCCGTTCCTGGCAGTTGTTGGAAGACGACCCTGCCCTGCTTTCACTGTCATCCTGTTTGTCGCCCATGTTTCAGTTACCTAGTAAAAAACAGTTTAAATACACTCCAGGGCACTGTCTTAAAAATAGTATAGTATGCCAAAGGGAGTGCAGATTTACTGCTGGATGAACACCATCCAGGCCATCCCGGACTATACACACTACAGACACTGAATTTAAATGTACTGATGCGGATTTATGATAGCTTTCGGTATTTGAGTGTCACACATCTGTTTTAGTAAATATTGTGTGAGTTTCTTTCTTTCAAATACTCAAACAAAAACTGCTACTAGACTTGATAACATTTACACTCTTTCATACATTTCCTGCTATACATTAATACTGAAACATTGCACACTAACAACACAGACTTGTATATTCATTCTGCTATGACTACTGAATGAGGTTTCATTATATAAAATTACTTACTCATCTTGCAAAAGAGGGTAGGTGGAATTTTATATATTTTAATAGCTGGACTAAAGAGATCTGAGCATTATACATATTATACATATGTCATATGATTGTCTCAGTAGGCCTACGTGTTGCTTCAGTTCATCAAATAATCCAAGAAGTAAAATGAAGTTCAGTCTGAAAAAAAGTAAATAGTATAGACATTTCATTAAGGCTGAGGGTTTTGTATAGATTTGCAAAGTTACGAACATATGGGGCATGCAAATATGGAGAGTTTAATGCACGTGGTTCGCAAACTGTTAGGAGGGCCCCCCCTAGTGGGGTATAGAGCCACTACAGGGTGGATAACCAAAGGAAAGCTACATAAGAAATAGATAAATAAAATATAATTTATGTGGTGCTACCACACTGACCTTTTTTTCTGTATGAATAAGATTTAATTTATTTCCTTTTTTATTGCCAATGATTGCTGAAAAGTGTGAGGTAGAAGTGTGAAATTTTCAGCTTCTAGGAGCATGCCAAAAATGATTGAGACAGTGCTTTAATGGGATATCGCTCAGATTCTCATGTGTAGCTTAGTGCAGCATGGACTAGGCATGCTTTCTTAACATTTTGTTTATGCAAAAGTATGACGAATGGACTTTTCTAGAACATTGCGTGCAATACACTGTTTTCACACAGTGCAGTGGCTGACACTGTTGCAAGAAGGTCCTGAGTTTGAATGCTGTCTGGGGCCTTTCCATGTGTAGTTTGCATGTTCTCTGGCTTTCTCCTACAGTCCAAAGATAGGCATGGTGTGATTCTAAATCGACTGTGTCTATGTGTTATCTCTGCAAAAGACTGACACTGTGACAGGCTCCAGCCTCCCAGCAACCCTGAAATGCATAAGTGGAGGAAAACAGATGGATTGAATCTTTGGAGACTTGAGAAACCTTTCATAAACATTGTAACTCTATGCAAATGTTCCCCAAGTCTGTTCTGAAGGTTGCATTGTGAGCAATCTTTAAAAGTCAACTTTAAAGAACCCAGAACTCCAGTCTTTTTTGTGAAGTTTTGTGATAACTGTCAGGGAACATTTAGGGAACAGTCACAGGAGTTTCTGCAAGGAGTAGATCCCTATATAACCTGGGAAAGTTTTTTTTCTGGTAAAGCTGTGGATTGGCCACCATTTGCTACTAGTTACAAAAACTTATATACTAATGTAACAAATGCCATTACTAGCTACTTGGGCCAGAGGCAATTGCTGACAGTTATGTAGCAAAAATACAAGAAAATGTGAAGATTAACATTATTTCTTATAATGTCAGTTGAATTACAAAAAAACCCTGCTTTGTGACTGACCTAATGGTAGGCCTAATAAGCAACATTTACAATAGTATACATACAATAGTGGCACACTTCTAAGCTATGTATCCAGGAAGCTAAAAATAAAAGAATAAAAACAAGTATGGCTTCTCTAAGTAAATATCTATCAAGTAGATTGAAAACGAAAAACAAAACAAAACAAAAAAACTTCGGTAAATGTTATTTGAAGCTTTCACAAAAATCGTTGAAGAATCCCGACTGTTCTTCAGAGGTTATGCAACCTTCAGCCTGGTTGTTGGGCTGCGGTATGGATGTTTATTGATGCTGCTGTTTGGCTTTGATTAAGTTAGCTACTTTGGTACACCCCAGGCCTTCCTGAGGTTTGGCTACAATAATCAAATTACTGTTAGACCTGACAGGCAATACTGCCTACCTGCCTTGGAGGGAAACAGACACTGCCAGGTAGATAACAAACAGGCCTACAACAAAAGGAAAAGGGAAACACTTGACTTGCTTGCACAGTAACAAGACGTCGCTGTGCGAGTCAACTCGTTAACAAGCCAGTATACTACTAAGCTACCTAACTAGTGTCAACCCCCCCCCAAAAAAAAGTAGGACCTTTACCTGACATTTATGCTAATGTTACTAGGTCTAAGCTACAGTCCATAATTACCCGAACATTATCGGTTAATGTTAGCTAACTGTAGATTAAAACCATTTTATACGTTTATTGACGTTAATGCGCTTCATTCATTAAAGTGAACTGTAATGAAAGCTCACAAAATGGATAATATTTCCATATGTAAATTTGTCTTAAATGTTTATCTTTGTTTTTCGAATGCTTTTTGAGGGTTAGCGCCCCTTTAACTTCAGCCCCTGTGCCAGTTCCGACTCGTAGGCCTCCAGCCTGACTAAGCACAGAACCATCTCTGGCAGAGGAGCTGAGCCAAGCCTTTGCAATGCAGACTGTTGATGAGCACGTGGGCGTGGTGTCGCTTGCATCCACACGTGCAAACATTTATTTAAAAGTGTGCCGAAATATGCTGGAGGCATTTGTTGGATGTTCACTGGGGCAGCATAGTTCCGACCGTCACAGCTCTTTTGTTCTAGCTGAGCTGGAAAACGGTGCTTATCTTTATTGTCTGATACTTGAAAGCTGTTTGATCATCTCGAGGAGGTAATTATTTAAACTGTTTTTTTTATTCATCATTAACAGGCTAACATGCTGCCGGACGCCTACGGGTGTGCTGTGGCGAACAGGTTCGGGAATCTTCTGGATGATGACACGGATCCTTTCGACTTGATCAACGAAGTGGAATCAGAAAAGACGAAGAAGAAAAAGAAGAAGAAGGAAGAGGAGGAGAAGAAAGCAAAGCAGAAAAAACCTGGTCAGAAGGAGTCCCAAAAGGACCGACGCCTCCCTATGGCCCTGGATGTTCAAGAGCCGGTTCCAGGTAAGTACTGCGACACACTGCACAAATCCAAACGATTCTGGCAGCTGCTGGGGTTTCCAGACGGGGTAGTCCAGCCAAGAGTGGCCAGTTTGCCTGAGCTTTGTCAGCTGGTAAAAATGCGTGGTCAGCGAGGTGCACATGTGCATGCTGTCAGAGGTGGTTATATCCCCACTATCCTCTGTGCAGAAATCTGAGTCAAAGTGACGCTTGTCTAATTTTATAGATAATTCCAGAGGACATTTAAGTACATAGATTCAGCTATTGGACTGAACCTAAAAAATGGATTGGAAAGAGGAAAGCATGTTAAATTGTTGTTTTCCTCCTGTAAATGTAAGCTCAGTGAGGTTTGAGAGCATAAGTCTGATACTGAGAATTGCATTCAGAAACATAGTTTTCCCCAAATAGTGATTGCTACCTTATGACTCAGTTCAGTACGTTACCATCTCGCTTTCTCCCTTCAGTCCGTAGGCAGCAGCCACGTCCTGCACCTGTGTCTGAGAGTGGGGAGGGCAGAGAAGAAGCCCAGAAGAAAGCTGCTGCTGGGCAGCGTAGGGCCAACCAAGAGGAACCCCCACAGGAGTTTTCAGTTTCTAGGTTTGCATTCCATGCTTAATAAAAATATCTTTATTTAACTGATGTCATATAAAAGATGACATACCCAGTTTCAGCATATGCTTGCATACATAAACATTATTTCATACACTCTTACAGGAGCTTTTGTTGATTAAAAGCTCTCCTAATATTTAATGTCACCCAACAATGTCTAATTATACTATGGAAGCTTGTTTCTGCAACTATGGGGGGGGGGAAACAAAGCATTTGTTTGCCAACCAAATTGAAATTTCAGGTTATAGCTTACCAATTCAGACTTCTGAGAAAAGAATTCTAAATTAAGAAAACTACATTTTAAGTTGAGATGCTAACCCAAAATTTGGACTTACTGATTGCAATAAATCCCTACCCCACCCCCTCCCATGGCATAAACAAGCTTTCCTAGGATACTGCTGTCAGCTGGGTTTGAAATGTGGATGTTGTCACATGAATAAACTGAGTTTTAATCTTCTTTTTTGGCAGGCCTTCCTATAATTCAGACTTTGATCTCAGAGGCAAAGGGGGGATCAAAGGTAGGAGAGCAGGAAGAGCTGGAGGAAATGCAAGGAACCCGGACTACTTTATTCTGAGGGGCAAGAGGGAATACGATCGGCACAATGGAACGTAAGTCTTTGTAAAAATGCCGCTTGTCCCTGATTTTCCTCTGTCTCGTAACTGTGTACTGATGATCATTTTGTCTTAATTGCAGAGGTATACCTCCTGACGATAAGAGAGGAGGAAGAGGAGCTTGGAACTGGGGCTCTGTTGAAGAAGCTGCAAGGTAAGTGGGTAGTTGATAAACATGAAAATGACAACATTTTAATTCTTGCAGAGAATAGAGGTTCTGTTTGTTCATGTCCGTTTTTGTACAGTGAATTCATGGATGGGACATCTCCAATCAAATCTGAGGACTCCCAGATAACTGTAGAGGAAGACAATCCGAATCAGTGAGTGAAATGCACAAATATCCTTTCTTAAATTTACATCTGTACCACCGTGACTTATTTAGAAGTGACGGTGGTCTTGTTTAGTATCTGTGCAATGAAAATAGAGGAAAATCTACAATTTAAAAAAACAAAAACACATTCAACAGTGTGCTAGATAAAATGTTCTGTGACGAGCTTTAATTGATGGGGAAATTTGGGATGTCTGTACTTGGCAGTCGCACATGAGAATTGTCATTTGCAGGAAGTGGGAATAGGGAAAAAAAGAAATGGAAGATGATTTATTTGTTTTCAAATGATAAAATAGAGCAACGGAGGAGGAGGGAGAGATGTTAGTCCAGGTTGCTATGGAGATGACCCTGGATGAATGGAAGGCCATGCAGGAGATGAGTCGTCCCAAAGCAGAATTTAATATCCGCAAAGCAGAAGGCAAGATTCCCTCCAAAGCCAAGGTCATCCACGAGTCAAAGCATGTGGAGGTGAGCGTGGAAGATGAACTCTGGAGGCTATATGGGTTGGTTTTTGTTTTTTGTTTTTTGTTTCCCCCATTTTGTTTTTATGAATAATTTCTGCAGTTTCTCAGAGTAACTAAAAATCGTGTGTGTGATGCAACATTACTGCAACATAGGCCACCGGCAGTTGTAAGTTTGTGCACCCTCAGTTGTGGCTCCTTAGGGGCTAGTTCATCTTGGCTGCTAATGAGGTTAATTTGAGATGAACTGTAACATGTGTTGACATGCCTGTGCATATTCGGGTAGTTTCTTGACTGTGCAGCAAAGCAAGCCATTAATAAATTCAACGAGACAGAATATCTATTGCCGAATAATCAAAGACTGAGTAATAATCAAAATATCTATGGATGTTTTTACTAACATAAAAAAAGCAAATGCTATAAAAATAGTTTAGTTTTCTGTTCAAATAGTACTCTTGCCTTCTGTATATTTAGTGTTTGCTTCCAATTTCTAGACCATCAAGGTAAATATGGAAGATGAAGGAAACTTCCTTCGCAGGTCTGTGAATGATATCACCTCCCTCTTGGACATCAATTTCGGGAGCCTTGGACGTCCCACTCGTGGTGGCCGAGGAAGAGGAGCACGTGGTTGTCCTAGCAGGCGCCCAGAGAGTGTCAAACCGATATTGGAGAGGGTATGTCTGTATTTGGGTACAGAATTTGGGACAGCGCTGAAATGCTCCAACCTTTCATATAGCTTTTATTGACAATTGTGCATTTGAGGTTTATTTACTTTCTGAAGGGTAAGAGGGGTACTCGTATTTGTGTGCCCAGAGCACAGTTAGCATATTGTTTTATGAATGACGTGGTTTTTCCCTATTAGGCGGAGGATGATCTGGCACCTAACCCAGATGACCCAGAAGACTTCCCAGCACTATCAGCAGGGAGATAACTGAGTAAAACCTCATCTCCTGATGTGACACATTTATTGTTTGAGGTTTTGGGTTCAATTGCACGGAATACACTGTTCAATAAATAATTATTTTGCAAGGTTAACTTTTTGTTTTGAACGCATCACTGAGGATTTAAACTCATTTTTCTTGTCAGCTGGTTGACAGGTCTTCAAATAACTTTCGCATGGGACAGTATTGTGGAAGTAGAGCCAAAGAGTCAGGCATGAGACTGCTCTAAACATCCAGCCTTCTTTTTGTATAATGGAGGATATTCTTAATATGGTCTTACAGCTGAGCACAGCATCTCCACCTACCTGCTTCTCTTTCCAACTGTTAGCAAGGGGCACCCAGTCTGGGGGTTTAAAAAAGGATCTGGGAACAACCATAATAATTGTGCTTAAAACATGTAATGAAAGGACTAAGCCAGAGACATACTTGGGTATACATTTATTAAAAAGTATGATTCTGTGCTTCAAGCAAATGTCTTCCATGGATTATGAAGGTGAGTTAGACCAGGCCCCGTTAGGACCACCCACTCATTTATAGGATGATCTAACAGTACAAAATATTTACAAAATACAGAGTATATCAAATGTTGACATATTTACAGTTTAAGTACAGGAGCTGAAAAGCTTCACAAGTAAGAGACATCAGATATTCAATAGAAGTACAAATGCACATGTCGCCTTGTAATCGGAAGGTTGAGAGTTCGAGCCCCGGCTTGGACAGTCTCTGTCGTTGTGTCCTTGGGCAAGACACTTCACCCGTTGCCTACTGGTGGTGGTCAGAGGGCCCGGTGGTGCCAGTGTTCAGCAGCCTCACCTCTGTCAGTGCGCCCCAGGGTGGCTGTGGCTACAATGTAGCTTGCCATCACCAGTGTGTGAATGGGTGGATGACTGAATGTGTAAAGCACTTTGGGGTCCTTAGGGACTAGAAAAGCGCTATACAAATACAGGCCATTTACCATTTTGTGATGGAATTACTGCCAATAGACTTAACTATGTCCATGGCAAACACACAATGCAAGGCCCAAGATCAGGGACTCGGGACAAATTAAAGGCCAATTCTATCAAATACTTCCCACCATGAACCCTTATCAGAATAAGTTCTGCACAGTGCTCATTTTGGAGGAAAACTCCTGGATCCACACATTCATACAATGATTCGATCTGATGCTGCTACTGCATGCTTCAGTTAAGTAGAAACAACCAGGCAATGATTAAAACTAGCAGTTCAGTTCATGATTCTATGTTTAAAAAGAGTCCTATGGATAAAATGGCTTGTAATCATAAAATTTTGAATGAAGTATTTGTGGTGTTTCTGTAACGTCTCTTCCCCCCACGTCAGCTGTATAGAAGGTAATGTATCAGATTTTCCAGATCCACAGGCTCACCGCAGTAGAGGAGCTCTAGGTTTGGGTATGGAGTGACTACAAAGAAGAAGGGGGAAAAATAGAGTTATTTAAGATTAAATCATTACAATACTAGAGTAAATGCAAGACAGAAAAGTGAAGCGGTAGATACCATAGCCTGGAAAACCTAATGGATTGCAAAGAGCTGCGAGCTTTACATCCTCTGGAGACGGTACGTCTGTTGCATATATGAAACGTAAAAGGAGGAAAAGAAGGGAGGTGAACATTAAAGACTGGCTCAAGAAAAGAATGCACACATGGCTACAGAGTGGTAACAACAGGCCAAAGGCAGAGTGAAGTGAGGTGCACAAAGTCTAGAGAAGCTATAGCCAGCCATACTCTCAAACAAACTGTTCTCAGAGAACATGCAGGGAAAATGTTTGAATGAAGCAGCAGGGGGATTGTGCCAAGTGGAATTTAATTTGGCATCCTGATAGTGGTACATATGCACCATCAGATTTACTACATGTTAGACCTGGACAATATCCAGTTATATGTAAAGGTTAGTTCATCTGAGTAAAGAATCTGAGCTGGGTTGCACCTTCATCAAATTCATAAAACAATATTTATTAATAGTATTTAGTTTCTCTATGTAAACCTCATTAGCCTTCTGTCATGATGAAAAAAATGCAAATTTCTCTACACTGAAAGGATCTGCAGTACCATTTTGTTTTACTTAATGCTTAAATTAACTGAATAATTAAATTCAATGAAAGTATTCACCTGTTTATAATTAATCCATTCCTTCATTAAAAAAAATGCATTCAAATGCTTCCACTTTTACCTAAACTGTAAGATCTTAACTGTTGTTGGTGGAAACAGTCTTTTTTTTTCAAGAAACATTTTTTGAATGAATCACAGGTTTTGTTTCAGTAGGCGATGCAGCCCAGCCTAGGAACATCATGTGATTATGGCACAACCCCTTTTTTTGAAAACTGAAGTGAAACGACGTGTATTCCAAGCCTCTGAAATTTTTGCTGAATTTGCACAGGCACTAAAGATCATATCTCTTTTTGCATATTGCAATTTTTGGCTCCTGTGCAAATGCAGTCCAAATCTCCACTTGGCTTGTGAAGATCTAAGGAAGCTTGCCTGTAGATGGACCTGTCCCATGCTTAAGCTGATGGGAGAGCCTAAGTTGGTTGTGACACTGGCTGTCTGTCTATGGCTGTCACATGGTTCACAACACATTGGGTCTTTGCCACCAGCCACGACATGCAAGTTGCCTAGGGACCTGACCAGTCTGGTGTTGCACAGGGAGCTGGTAGAGAAAAGGGAAGCTGTTAATGTACTCAGCAAGCACTCATGAGTGGCTATAGCCTCTCTATTTTTGTTTTGTTTTTTTTTCAGTTTCAATGGTACATAGAGGAATTAAAATACAAAGCATGTATTATTATTACAACAGTACAATTTCACATGTAATGACTGAAGTTAAAAATACAACCTACAGACTGCTTTAAACACGCATTATTTATAATGGCCAGCAGGGGGCAACTAGGTAAACACTTTCATATTGAATATACATGATGTCCTATCTGCAGATTATGGGTGATGTCAAATTGCAGCTGCAGCAATGTTTTCTGTCTAGTCTATGATCCAAACTGAAACATTGTTGACCTTTGTGGATAATTTTAACTGTATAACGTATGTAAAGTCTATCTGGGAAAGTCAGTTCGGGCAAATAAGTGTTATTTAAATTCTTCCACTGACCTTCCTCCTGTTCCATTGGCTGGAAGGGAGGTTCTGGTCCTTTTCCTGCTGTCTGACTGGTCAGATAGAGCCAATGGGCTAACACTTGTCTTACAGCTCTGAAAACTTGCCTGCAAGATGACTCCGCTGCAGAGGAGACATATTCATTAGTCTAAGCCCTGCTTTATGTCAGTATGTGTATGTAGGTGTGCATTTTGTGTGTACATTGTACACTTTACCTCAGGGACTGTGATGAGGATCTGGTGTGCATCTTATTCTCCTCTTGTCTGTGAAGACAAAGTAACATAGCAGTAAAAAATGTGAAACTTCATATGTATATGTAATGAACTACACTTCAGAGTGGATAGCAGGGGAAAGGTTTGCATGGTAATGAGAAAAAATGTTTTGTTTTTAATGTGACAGTTTTAGCCGTGTGAACAGAATATTATTGCATTCAGCAGCCAGGTAGGATTAGTAGAGCTAAGTTAAAGCGAGGAGGTGGCACTAAAACTTAAAGAGAGTCTTGATCTGTCTTAGTCATTTCCATCAGCAGCTCTTAATTGTCTGCCAATTTAACAGTTGGGAATAAGTCAACACAATAACCAGCAAAGCATGATGTGTAAAGGTGACGGGGTGATGGGAATGTTTATGGTACAAATCATCATGTACAAAAAATGCTGACAAGGTCAAGGCAGTAGCCTTTGATGTTTTAGATTTTTAAAAACTGGCTCTGCTCATTAGCTTTGACTTTACAGTATTTGCAGAAAGAATATAGGAACAGTAAGATGATTTTGAACAAATTTCTGATTCGGGTTGGGAATTAAAAAGAGACTGGGGGCTCACTTACAGCATTCTCAGTTAGAGCTCCAGAAGGAGGGGCAGGGCAGGTTTTGGGGGGGCTGACGGGCAGTAGAACTCATTGAAATCCTAACCCGTCTATACAGAAATGCAGGATGGAAGAAGGGAAGCCATACACAATCCACCACAGGGCAAGGCTACACAGGGAGGAGAGCAGCATGGCTACCAGCCATCTGAAAGGAGGACAAATCCAACAACAAGAGCAAATGGAAAAAAAGGGGGAAAAAAGGAAGGAGAGACAAGAGACGTCTGGGCAGGACATAAAGCCTCTGATGTTGTGCTTTTCCACTGGGACTGGATTAGATGAATCACCTTTTGTAGAGCCTTTCATCCAACAGTGCCAAACAGCATATTTTTGTTCATCACTTGCTCTGTTGTATAAGCAGTCAGCCATAAAGAACCCAACTAATGTAGGAAGTTTAAAGTAGGTTAACTTACTTGAGGAAAAAAACAACAACTTTATTTTACTTAAGTTCTACATATTTATAATAAATATAGGAGTGAGTTTTTTTGTATCGTAAGCTCCTCAAAAGTACTTGAAAATAAAACACGATTCTAGGAAAAAAAAGAACCCCAGGCAGCATTTACAGACATTAAATAGATAACAGTATCCCTGGTACTGAAATTGTAGTGATTGATATAAGCCTGCCAATGAAGGAGATGGGCTCTGTTTAACAGAAACATCTAAAAATAGTCAGATCCTACAAGAATTAAGCACCCATTTCTAAACTCTGTCCCACACTTTTAATAGAAGCTAACAGAGATGGACTCCTGCAAGAGTAAACAAAGCTCAGATGGTATGCATACACTGATCCAGTCACAAGAGCAATGGAAAAACAACAGGCAACTGACAATGATCCCAGCCCAGCATTAAGTACATGTTAGACACAAACACAGAGGCATGTGCATGCGTGCATGTCCAAGGGTTTCATGCCTGTTGCCATGCGTGAAGAGGCAGAAAAGTGAAGAAGTTCTGACAGTCATCGTTCTAATCGTCCCTGGAGTTTAACATGCATATTGGTGTTGCATAATAAACCAAACAGTGGAGCCAGATGGTGATGCTCAGATGGAAATGGAGCATTAGATGTGTAGCAATGCATTCCCTGCAGCAGCATATGGCCTGTAGTGCAAGCAAATCTCCCTTC